GCGGAGTTCGCAAACCGAGGTAAATTTTTGCGGCCAGAGCTGGTCGCAACCCGAAAAGTTCTTAAGCAGAGGCATTCGTAACCCGAGGTACCACTGTATGTATGTATTTTACTGTATGTAAAATGTAAACATGAAAGTAAATATCTTTCTATCTTTAGCTAACTACAGGTCTCAACCAACTTACCTTTTCAAGTGAACAGTAACGAGGGGAGCACACAGATTTACAGTAGGCTTTAATAACAGCAGGCCTACCATAGCCTCATGCAGCCAATTCACCTTTTCAACTTCACCTTTGAGGGCTGCACTATTAAGGATATGGAAACATTGTGTGACAGCTGAATCTTTAATCCAGACACTCTTCTCTTTCATCTCCTTTAAAATGTTAATAACATCTACAATAAACCACAGCAAAAAAAAAAAAAAGCCTTAGGTAATTTTATATACAGAGAAAACAAACTGCTATTAAAACAGCCTTTCAAAAACCAGCAGGAATGTAAATTCTGGTGTATAATGCCAATTTCAAGTTAATTACTACTTGCATTTCTAAACGAGACTACAATTATGAATCCACAAAGCATGGTTTTATCATTTTGCTGCAACTTTGACTACAAATTACAGATGGGAACTGTGAGCCCACTCTGCACCACATAACCCTGTAGAGTCTGCCCTACAGCAACAAGATCCTACTAAATGGATGCTTTTATCGTTTGGTGCTAACATCTGCTAAATCACACCATTGTTTCTTCAGCAGATGGCTTGTCACGAGGCCAAATAATAAAGATGTGTTTACACTGTATATAGAGCCAGACTAATGGTCTGATACCGATAGGGCCTGTTTGCTGTGTCGATACTAATTAGCCAAGGAGAGCCAATGAAAGCTTTCTAAGAGACTGCATGTTAAAACATTAGGTTCATTAATCTTCATTAGAAAGGCAGAAACAAACATTTTGGTATATGGAATAAGAGCATTTTTGTAATGTTCTTAATTACTGCACAAGCAAAATGTTTTGACCACTTTACATAAAAGCATTGGTTGAAATGTCTCCCGCAGCATGCTATGGGCTTTTGAAAGCTTGACACAATACCACCTTTTAATTGTATAGGTACCTATGATCTAAAAATCAACTCCTTTTATGAAAATGATCACTCTAAAATGTATGTGTGCGTGTGTATATATATACACACATACATACATACACACATTATATACACACACACACACACACATAGTATACAGACACACACACCATACACCTTACCTTTTCAAATAAAGAAATTTAGTATAAATCTTCTGTTTAATAGAATTTCATATTAGAATTCGCTAGTCACTGTCACACTGTTTTCTTCTAATCAATTATGCCAATAACATACAGTTTACAAATGCTGTAATAGACAAATTTAAGATCCAAATACTATAATGTGTTTCTTTAAAAATTCATCTTTTATCCAAGAGTGCTTAGACACTTTTCAAAGAGGTTATGTTTACAGGCTTTACACTCAGGCTTCACACCTTCTTAAGGAAAAACAAGGCCATTAGTCAAGGCACATACACAATTTGTGCCATAAATCGTGATCTTCAAACTCAATCCTAACAGCAGTGCTAATAAAAACTAGCTGCAGAAATGCAAAAAGCATTGAGCTGTGTAAATGTAAATGACAAGCTTGCCAGTCCATTAAAACTAATGGCCTATACCATCCAAGTATCTCTGGTTGAATTCACATGCAAATTTGTATGTAAAATGTTCAAGCACTTTGCAGGACATGATATACCATTAATATTTTTATTCTGGCGGCAAGATATCTGTATTATATAACAGAAATATACACTGAAAGAAAGAGTGCTTACCATGTAGTCTTTCATGTTTCTCCAAAATCTTAATCAATTCTATGTAAGTGCTTAATTCAAGAACATCAGACGAATCTTTACAACAACTGGAGTATATAAAAAGAACTATATCAATTCTTACATCGTATATAATAATATATAATAATCTCACTGCACAATCTAATGCATGTTCCCTTAGAAGCTAGCTCCCAGTAACTGGATAACATGATAGATTATATTATTGCTGAAACATTAAGATACTGACATTATGAAGGACAGAAGCACATTTGTTTGAAGACACCAAATTGAATCCAACTGCATTAATGGAAGGCTTGGGAAATGAATGTAAAAAGAGACCGAGTCCTGGCAAAAATAAAGGGGCAGTGCCTTTGCTTTTATCTCTTTTTTTAAAGGAAGAAAATATATTGCATGACTTGTGCAAAATAGCTACAGAAGAGAAAGCAAACCCGAGGCATACTGTCAACCAACACTGCCAACGGCCTATATGAAGACTAACAAGCACTAAGATTCCACTGATATCCAAAGTCTGCTATAACTTAAATCCATAATTGCAACGGCACCCAAGTACAACCAAGCCTATACACACTGAACTCAATGATAAGTCTGCACAGACAGGTTTATTCAAAATATACCATGTACTATTAGTCTGTATCCAATCCAATGTAATCACTCCTGCAATCTATTTTATGACTGCCAATTTACACTGTGGTTTGCTCTTTAACCACAATACTGCTTCCTCAGTTCATAAAGTTTTCCCAAGAAAATTACTAGAACCACCTGCTTTTGGCATATAGGTAGGGACAGGGATTGCCATCACTAAGCGATGCGGTTGTAAAATGTGATGTCATGTGACTGCATCGCTTAACGACAATCCCAGCAGTCCCAGTTGCTGTTGTAACCCCAAGACGTGCAGGTCATTAAGCAGGAGGTGGTGGGAGTCCCAGGAAAGGAGCGTGGGGGTGCCGTGGCGGGGGGGAAGGAGGCCTGGCACAGGCCACATGTGAGTTCAGGGAGGTGGGTGCTACGGTACCATGTGAACATAGGAAGGCCATGGGGTGGAGGGTGTGGTGCCGTGCAAGTGCAGGAAAGCCAAGGGAGACTTACTGGAGCAACTTGAGACCTTCCTGCCAGCTTCCCCATTGACTTTGCTTGTGGGAAGCTGGCAGGGAAGGTCGCAAATGGTGAACATGTGACCGCAGCTTCCTGCAACATTGTAATTGTGAGCCAGGCACCTGCCCAGATCACGATTACGTGACTGCAGGGGTACTGTGACTGCTGGAACTTTGAGGATCGGTCATACCTCCATTTTTTTCAGCGCCGCTGTAACTGTGAACAGTCACTGGATGAATGGATGTAAGCCGGGGACTACCTATAATGAATTTTACTTATCTTTATTACTATAGAACTAACAAGGGATTGTTTCTCAGGCACATAGATTTTATAGTAATCCCAATTCCAATCAATCACAATCACTGCCAAACCAGGAAGGTTATACAAGGGTTGGTGCTGTTTGTGATTGTGATTTGTATATGTGTAATGTCTTATTCTGTAAGGACTGTCTAGTCTGTTCATTTGTAGGCAATTCTGTAAAGGGTGAACAGACTGAGCAAACGCACTTTATAGATCATCCATGTCTAAGCTGCAGAAAGAACTGCTTACCATTAAGATTACAGAGATATGCTCAAGTTTCAACAACATTTGATGGATGCTACATGTCTGTGTTAGAAATAGTTACTAGAAATATTTATATGCATATGAGATTTTGCATTCCATTGAAATACTGATATAAAAATAGTGACAACTATTTGATACAAAAGTACTCCATGAGGCTCCTCTTCAGCTGTCAGTCAGCAAGTTCATTAGACAGCAACAGAGGGAGACAACAAGCAGTTCCATCAGTCTTTCTTATCCCCTCCGTGAATACTTGGATGTAACTGAGGAACTAGTATTTCAGCACTGATGGTCAAACTTTTTTTCCTTCATCCTTCCCTAATCCTTTTTCTTTCTGGGTCAAATACTTTTAGTTTGTATGTCTGTGGATATGGAATGTCTTTTCACTGAATATATATAACTCACTGAAAAGCATTTTTGGTTCAAGAACAGAAACAAATGCCTTAAAATAAAATACTCTGTGGCCAAGTTCAGACATACAACAGCTTAGAGCTGTTAATTAAAACTGCATATCCTGAAGCAAAATCCTTTAATGCCAAAATAACCAAAGGAAAACCCTAAACACTTTAGTTTGATATTATACTTATCTCTTGTATTTAATTTAAAACAAGTATCTCAAGAGTACAATTTTTAAAAAAAACTGAAAAGAGAAAAGAGAAAAATGAAGAGCTGAAAAGCACTTTGCTCCTTGACAAATCAGCTATTACAAGTTTTAGCTGGGAGCTAATTTTCACAATCAAGTGAAAATAAAAACAAAAAAGTGTAACTATTGCAGATAAGTATTAAAATAATGCCACTTACAAGAACTGCGTACTGCAGATGTATTACTTATTCCAGAACCTAAAACTAGATACCAAGATGGATTCTAAGACCTCGTCAGAAATAGATTAAAATACAACACAGATAGGCACGCAAAACACTAACAAATGTGCTTGTACAAAAACGATTGTATAATCATGACAGCTTGCACAATCAATTTTGAATTTCAGCAGAAAATATTTTATGTGGGGAAAGCTAATTAAAAATGTATGGGGGATGATAATACTCAACCTACTTAATTCAATAAGGTCTGTGTATCAGCATAAATCTCTGTGACATCTTTCAGTGCCAGTGTACTTACAATTCTTCTTTCAGGTTCATTGCTTCCTCTACCTTATCATTTTGACAGTAAAGGCGTATTAAGGCTCCATAACCCATAGCATTCATGCTAGATTCATATTTGGCTTTTACTTCAAGAGCTTTCTGCATATTCTAGAAGGAACATTAAGCAAAAGATATGAACTAGAAAAAGAAAATCAACATGACATTTTATATTCTGCTAGGAAATTACATTTATTTATATATGCTGAGACTTAGCACTGTTTCTTAGCAATTCATGTGCTTTACATCTGTGTGCATGTGTATCTGTGTATAAATTGGTAAATGGCTTAAATGTGTCCATTATAAACTTTTACACTACATTGCAATTTATGCTTTCATTGACATCTGAAGTATGCATATCATAATTATACCACACTGAACTTCATAGCAAAGCACTTTCACATTCTACACATAACACCTCATATATTGCAATCATTTCAATATCAATGAGCAGAAGACATATTAAATTGGCTGGTTTAAGAAAAAGAAACCAAAGCTGCTCATAACCCAATTTTCTGGTATTACAGAATATAAATTTAAAATGCTGACTATATTCTAATTTGCTATGAAATCATGGACATTGTGTCAATGGCATGTAAACAAGATTCAGGGTCCAAGTATAAGAATACACAGCAAATTAAAGTTCTATACAAAAATATGAATTACAGCTGGATGCCTGCTGATGAAGACAAGAGCCTCTGCATCTCAGAAAGCTATTCTTCAAGAAAAAAATGGAATTTCAATCCCCACATTAACCACCTTTTAATATTTGACTTGCAAATTATCATGCATGTATCAGTTGCTTGACAATCTAGTTGTAAGAGACCAGAGCCGTGGCTTGAAAGGACATTTGGCATGTATGATAAACCTTTCACAGCTGTTACTATCATTCATTTTGCAGATTACCATTAACAGACTTCCACAATCCCAAAACATGTCATTCAAGAGGTAACTAAAAACAGTACTGAGAGTTTTTTTCTCTAATTTTTTAATACTTTGGATTTGCAAGGGGTAAAATTGAAATCCACAAACCACTAGTTTCCCTTGATTATCTACATGCACCTGCAGCTTGACAAGAAACAAACATATGTAACTGCATTTGTTCATTTTCAACTCTAGTAACTTTTATTATCTCTCCCTAAGACTGCCCCCCCCATCTACTACCTAAATTTAAAATATGAGGTCTCCTAGAGCTAGGATTTGTATTTTACTTAGGTTACTCTGTAAAGTGTCATTTACACTGATGGTGTTATACGTAGTTAGAAATATTAATTTACATATTATACTTTGTTAACAACCAGTCTGTTGAAAATTACCTTTTCTGAACACAGTGCAACTATGAAGTTCTTTAGAACATCTCCAATGGGTTTGTTTTCAGCTTCAAGTTGTTGAAGTTTCTCCTCCAATTGATGTGGACTAATCAAGGACTAAGACAAAAGGACAGGAAGGTAACTCAATGGATCTTTTGCAAGGAGAAACATGCCAGCAACAATATGCATTATTGATATTTAGACTACACTGGAATTTCTTTATATTTGAAGGGGTATGTTCTAGGTACAGAGGAAACCCTAATGCTATACTTTTTAAAAATGTTTTTCTATTACTTCAATTGTGAGCAATGACTTTGAATTTTATTCAATCAACTTTGAATTTTATAAATCTAAGTCATGTACTGCTCTAGATTTTATATTGCTCTTAAATAGGCTTCTCCTGCTGGGAGCAGGTACCCCATTCTTCTTTGTTCTCTGTGCACGTCTTTGCAAGTATCCAATGCAAGTGAGAACAGACTAATTTGTACATTCCTTCAGCTTCTGCTTCAGCATGGCATAAACATGGTCTGAAATTCGTAACTGCGAATAGCTCTATCCTTAAGAGGAAACTAAGTCATAACAACCAAGCATTCAAGGTTTCAAAGTCAATTTGTGGAAAAGTCAAGAATACCAGGTAGAACTTATCAAAAAATGCATATTTTTATTGTTACTAAGACTGAAACTCATTTTTTTTAAAAAATGGAAATATTAAAATTGATACAGTAAAACCTAGAAGCCATGTATTCTTGCTCTGTAACAAAATTATTTAATGCTAACATATTTAAATAGTTGCTATGTATATACACTTAATGGCTGCTCATCACAGGTCAATAAAAGTATACCCTAACATATAATTAATGGCTTGATATATATTTGAATATATGTATCAATGTGTTTATAAATGAGAAAACTGAATAAATGTGTCTTTTTGTTATGTCATTAAGATTGCTATCAACATTTAAGAGTCACCCTGTCCTCTTTGTCTCCCTAAAACTTTAGAATTCTCTGCCTAAAATATGCTTCCAAATTTCAGAAAAGAATGAAATAAAACTAATTTTATATATCAGATATATTAATTTTTAAGGTAACTACATCCTTGGAATGAATGAATGAGTGTGTGTGTGTGTGCACGTGTGTGTATCAATAGCATTCATTAGAAGAAGAAGAATTTGCCATTACAAACCTTAATTAAACTGGGAACGTTGTATTCAATCAGCAGTTTGCGAATACCTTTGTAGTAGTTCGGAAGGACTGTTACATTCTGTAGCAAGAGGTGGTGAAAATTATGTGAGTTTTAAAAGCACAACCAAACTGAGAAAATTTCTGTTAGACAAATTTCAGACGTAATTTAAATCTCCAGCACTTGCATGTCATTGAGAAGTGGTCTGGCTGTACTTAAAAGCTGCAATTTCAAATCTAATAGATACATGTCAGGCAGGATGGGCATTATGTAGCAAAAAAATGAAATAGTACCATCTTCTGCAGCTGATGGAAGTATTGTCTCAACTGCTCCTCCTTGTCCTGTACCTCTGAGTCAGTCATGTTGTCAATCAAGACATAAAGAAAACGGCCAATATTTTCTGCGGGTTGGGGGTGGGAGAAAGACAAGAGAAAGCATTCCACTAAAATTACTGACACTGTCATGTTATCAAGATTAATTTATAAGAAATCATTTTGGTGTGAGATGTCACCCTGATGAGAGGCTCTGAAATGGCAACAATGATCACTGAGGCATAGACATTATGTGGTTTGGGAGCACATATCTAACTGGTGAGTGAAAGGAATATTAATTATTTTCAAACCCAATGACAGCTTTTCAGAACAAAATCTTTCTTCGATCTATTTTTCCACAGCTGTGTGACAAAAGCAGCACTGCCCAAGGCCTCTCCCCCACTTTCCTACCCACTACCCCAAAATAGTTGCCATAAATATTTTGTCATTTATTCAAAAATAAATAAATAGAGCTTTTTAAAGCTTCATATGCACAGCCATGTATTTCTCATTATTTCCAGTGTTTTACTGTACCTAATGAGTGAATGTAAACACAATAAAGAATATTAAATGATATTTAACCCCCAGCTCCAATAATCCTGTGGAGAGCTGCTTATTAGCCAATGAAATTTAAGTTTAACAAAAGATGCTGTATAGGTAACAGCATTAATTTTCTTTGGCACTCAAGCATAAAATATATAGGAGCATCAGGAAGAATAAATGAGATTTCAGTAAAGAAACTACATAGCAACATGTACTGTAGTTTCTTATTATCCAAAATAATATATTTCTGTCATATAAAACATACATTATAATATATGTAACTTCTGACATTAAAACGTTACAAAAAGCTACT